ACCAAGAGTGGGCTTTTGTGTGAAATTACTATGAGCTCCATTCAGTTCTCGTTCTGAAAACAAATTCGGTATGTTCAGAATGTGCTTACAGACACCCCTCAGAAGTTGTGGTTTGTAGATAGTTGGATGCTAGTAAAAAAGCAAAGTAGATCCAACAAGGCTGAAGTCTGCCCATGCCTGGGATGATTCCATTTTCTCAAAAGAAATAAGGCCAGCATTCTATGTTCTATATTGTCTATGTACAACAACTGGAGAGAATTATTCCAATAATATTAAGATACTTTTGTACTCAAGTGTGACTGACTAGATAGGACAGCTTTTGTAGGGGGGGAAATTCTAGTCTCTAATTATCCAGATCAGTGGATATTAAAATTGGGAAGAGGGAAAGGGCTCCTGGAATAATTGAAAGTGATTTCCCTTTTTGCTTTGCTTTCTCTTTACATTTCTCTGGAAGGACTGTGTAATGTTTGAATTCTGAGTAGCTCTGACAAACATCTGGGTTTTAGTGTAGATTTCACAATGGATGGAAAAACCAGGGAAAGATACATCAATTTAAAAGACTGGCAGCCAAATTCTACACAATGGTACCTGGGTGTAAGCCCTGCTGAGTTTAATGAGACATATTTGGAAGTATGTATGTATGTGTAGGACTGCAGACATGATTACAGCATGGAAGCAGAGAATTGTAGAGTTGGAAGGGACCTCAAGGGTCATCTAGTCCAACCCCCTGCAATGAAGGAATCTCAGCTAAAGCATCTGTGACAGATGGGCATCCAACATCTGATTAAAAACCTCCAAGGTAGGAGAGTCCACAACCTCCTGAGGGGCCATGCAACATTTACAAAGAAAAAGATATACAAAATATATGCAATATATACAATGTGTTGCAAAATTCCTACCCCCATACAAAAACATTTTGTAAACTACAGTGGTACCTTGGTTTTCAAACATCTTGGAAGTCAAACATTTCGGTTTTTGAACGCCGAAAACCTGGAAGTAACTGCTTCGGTTTTCGAATGCTTTTCGGACATTGAACATGCCACGCGGCTTCCGTATTGAGTTTTCTGTAAGTGAATGCTTCCAGAAGTAAATGCTTTGGTTTTCAAACGTTTTGGAAGTTGAACGGTCTTCCGGAACAGATTACGTTCAAAAACTGAGGTATCACTCTATTTTGTAACAAGTCAGGAACACCACACCTTAAAGAGGTACCAAGTCTGCTGTGGTTGCACCATGCGCCAATGTATCCTGCAGCAAGATGTGAAATGTGAAAATAATCATGTACATCAGGGGACAAGCCAATTAGGGCTGGCAGTGGCATGTTGTAGTGTTACTTGTTTTGATAAATGTAAGCTGTCCAATGAAACTTACAGGTATATCATGCAGCACAAAACAAAAGCAATATAATCACATTCAACCATACATAAAACGAATAGCAGCATTAAAAAGCTGTGTCAAAATTTATTAGCAGACAACTGAAATAAGTAAGTCTTAATCACTCTGTGAAAGACAAATGACAAAGCCTCTCCTCCTCCCGGAGGGGAGGGGTTGTGATCTGGAGCCGTTCCCGTGCTTCACAGGGGGCGTTCCGGTCCCTGCTTGCCGTCATTGCTGCCGCGCCACGCTCCCCGGTCAGTCTTCCAATCGGAGGGAAGCTCAGGGGCGGGGTTTAGCCGCTCAAATGCGGTCATGGCAGCTCTTTCCCCTCATTGTGCTGCCGGGTTTCAATGGGTCACCCACCCACCCTTCCCTTTAGTTCATCGCTTCGTGCTTGACCTTGCTATGGACCTCTGGTTGGTCGCCTTGGTTGCCCAAGGGTCCTGGTAGGAGTGTTTACCCAATTGGCAAATTGGCACCGGCCACTTGGTTTTTCACCTACCTCGTAGCAAATTGTCACAACTTTTTGGTATTGGCGGTTAGGAATTGGAATATGTTGTTGGTGTATGGAAGGGCAGGGTGTGGCCATCGCCTACCCTTTCACTTTATGGGTATTCCGTTAAAGGAATCCGGCGGTCGTGGATCCTGTCCGATGCCCAGTGTGGCGGGGGGCCATGGCACGACCCCTGGTGACATCAGGGGAGAGCTTACAGTTGTATTTGCATCAACAGGCTCCCCCTACTGGTGGTTAACCCTTGTTAGACTCACCCCTCCCTGAGGGGGTGGAGTCAAGCTCTGCTGTTTATCCAGTGCCTAAGCCAATACCTCTCACATGCTGTAATCAATAAAGTTGTGGCCTTTTCTAGCCCATTAACCTTATATACTGTGTCCTTGTGTCTTTCTTATCCCCCAGTTGGGGGGGGGCAGGTCCTTGAATCACAATGGAGCCAAGGAGATCTTCCTTGGAAGAACCCCATAGCTTAGGTGCCTCTACGGAGAAGGCCCTATCTGTTACACTTGTCTGCCTGCCAAACTTTGGTGGTGACAAGCAGGTTGAAACTTCCTAGATATTCTTCATTTTAGAAAAGCTATGGAAATGTATGTCAGACAATTACCTCTTATTATTTTCAAAGCAAAGGGATTTGTGACTTTGGCATGCATGCAGAGCCAGACCACCTGTGAGGTGGAGTGAGGCAACCATACCCTCCAGCATTTCTCTGATGAAAATGGGGATGTCCTATTCCATAATAATCATAATCATAATCATAATCATAATAATCATAATTTCATTATTTATGCCCACCCCACCTATCTGACCGGGTGGTCCCAGGCACTCTGGGCAGCTTCCAACCTATATAAAAACATAATAAAATTATGCAGGGCTGCCTTCTGATGTCTTCTAAAGGTTGTATAGGTACTTCTCTCCTTGGCTCAGGTGTCACATAACTCATTTCTCCAATGAAAATAGGGACGTCCTGAGAAAAATTAGGACATTCTGGGATCAAATCAGAAACCGGGATGGCTTCTGTAAATCTGGGATTGTCCCTGGAGCATAGGGACATTTGGAGGGTCTGGGCAACTGCCACAGGTGGCAGACCCACAAGAGGGGCACCCCGCCCATGCCACCATTTCCGCTGCTGTCAGAATGCCCACCTCTTACCAAGTTTCAGCAAGAGGGGAACGATCTGGTGAGTGGTTTTGCTGCTCATCTTCCCCTCTCCTGGAGCACGGAAGATGAGTGGCAAGGCCTTGCGGACTGCTCTTCCTCTTGCCAAGTTCTGCAAAAGGTGGGGGAAATGGTGGGGGGCGGGCGGTACAAGTCCCCCCCCCCGAGGAACAGTCACAAGGGATCTAAAGCAGGAAAGAGAGTGATTTTGCCCCCCCTTGCCGTTTTTCTTAAATAGCATCCCTTAGCATGCAAAACTTCTGATAATAACTTCACAAAAGACTTCCAGATGTTTTTCCGCTTTTTAATTTATTGTGTATTCCATTTTCATTGCTATGATAAATATGTGTTAAAAACCAAGTTTACTAATTTTTCAATAATAATTTGTTTTGCTTCCCTTATTCTCAAGACAACAATTTGTATCCCAAATGATAGGTGTTGCATACTTTACAAACAGATTGTGGCTAATATGTATATTATAGATGTACGAACAGGACTCCACTAATGAATTGTCAAATGAAGAAATAGCTGGATGTAGACAGACTGAATATACCTCATTTCCTTAGATGGTTCACTGCATATTACTTTGTGAGGGATATACCAATTATTATTTTGTTAGTGTCAGGATTATTTAGCTTACAAAGGAGATCAGTGTGAACTCATTCAGCAAATATAGTAGAAAGAAAATGTTTACACATCGTGATGAGTTCCAATTAAAGAACATGCAAATAACTGAGATAATTCAGAATTAAAACACTATGTGAATAATCCAGGAATTACATGGGAAAGTATATTATGTGTGATTGGAAACTTAATTGAATACAAGGTGCGAACTACTTCACGGCAATCTTGAATGAACTAGGATGCAAATATCCTTGTACATTTTTATGAATAAATATTTTAAGGCAAAAAGATGCAAGTAGTTTCCATTAGTTAGCAATAGCATAATTTTACACGATTAGCCCAATCCAAACCCAAGATCTGGTATCTGAAATAGGCAAATCTTGGGCTGTCCTGGCTGAGCTGGGGCAGAACTCTCTCATCCCAGATCAGCTGGGGCATTGCTGCTGTAATTTCCTGAACCTGGCTCAGCTATTCGAAACTTCTTTTGGGTCAGTCACATGACCTGACAACTGGGCAGAATGTACACTGACAAAAACAGTGCTCTAAGTCAAACGCTGCCAGGCTGAGGCAAGCTCAGCAGTAGCCCCACTTCTGAATGGAGTTTGGACTAGGGCATATTCCACTTGCGCAATTTACCCTGGCATAAATTATACTGGCTTCCTATATTGATCTGTATGAGCTTGAAATCTTGTGGAACGTAGTGGAGGTTCAACAGAAACAAGCTAGAAAATCCCCCCCCCCAATGCTCTGATCCCTGTGGCAGATAGCTTCTTGAAATGCGTGTTTTGATGGTGAAGTTAAGCATGCTACATTTGGCTTCCCCAGCCTGATACCCTCTAGATCAGTGGTGTCCAAACTTTTTTCAAAGAGGGCCAGATTTGATGAATTGAACATGCGTGAGGGCTGGCCAAGTTTGTTGAGCTTTTTTAAGCAAGAGATTGCTTTTTCAAAATTGCCTGGCCATTTGAAACCAGCCCAGGGGCCGCAAGTGGCCCCCAGGCCAGACTTTGGACATGCCTGCTCTAGATATTTTGGACTACAATTTCCATCACCCCTGACCATTGACCATACTCGCTTGGACTGATGGGTATTGTAATTCCCCAAATCTGGAGGACAACAGTATGGGGGAAGGCTGTATTACATCATCAAGGATGCTCCAAAGAATCCTTCTCTTGCCTGTTGCTCCTCTTGTCTGAAATACATTCTGACACTTAACCTGGGTTTGAACCCCTCCTTCTTGCTTCCCTACTCTTATGACCATTAGGCTATTCCACAATACAGTTTCCTAGAAGCTACAGAAATGCACTTCCTAGACATGGCAAAATGGCTACATCATGCTTGTATGGTGGATGGCTCTTGTAGTAGGGCATGAGACTCTTAATCTCAGGATTGGGGGTTCGAACCCCACATTGGGCAAAAAAGATTCCTGCATTACAGGGGTTGGACGAGATGGTCCCTTCCAACTCTAGAATTCAATGATTCAATGAAACTGCTTCTGCATGTTTGCCTGAAGAAGAAAGCTTCCACTGATGTCAATGGGACATTCCCTGCCAGGGCTAATAGCAGCCAAAGGAGAGGGGGCTTCATTGAGGTTCCAGCAGTGGGGAAGGGTTAAATGTTCCCTCATTGCAAACTGCAATCTTTGGGCTCCCCTACAGTGGATGAATTTATACAAAAATATTTTATATTATTAATAAAAAAATACCATACATGTCAACTGCTTTCACGCAGTTGACATCCCAGCTGGACCTTAGAGTAAAAGCCACACCTGCCCTACTGAATGGCCAAGGAAATGCTGTATTGCAGAAAGTGACCTGTATATCATCTCAACAGTTAACCTATATTCTACAGAGCTGAAACTTGCATGTTTCCAATATTTAAAGATGCTACTTATTCTGAGAGTTAACAAGAATGTTTTTCATCAATACACATGACTTTCCATGTAACTTGCTCAATAATATATATGCTTTTCAAACAGACTGTCAACAGCTTTACTGTGGAGCCTTTTTTCAATTGATTCTTGCACGAATCCTTCAGAATCACAAGCAAAGCAGCTGGAATCACCATCTGAGCATCCCTTCATTTGCATTCAAAGCGTTTATTCACTTAAGAGCTTGGAAGGAGCTAAAAGAGAAGAGGAGGGAAAATCTAATAAAGAAAACACAGTAGTGGGCTTGGTCACAGCACTACACTTTGTCCGGTAGCACTGTATGCTACTAGTGGTACTGGAATGATGTCTGGTAGCAGTGGATCTCTGTTTTCCAGGAATACTTACTTTTCACTTGTTGAAGGTGGATAAAGGAAAAACCTCACTTCCTGTTATGCTGCACTGCAACCTCAAAATGAGTTGCATCAGGAGTTCTTATAAGGAGAAAACATTTGACAACTCGAAGGGCTGTAACTGGCTGGTGACCACTAGCTGGGAAGACATTTCATTCATTCATTCAAGAAATTTCTATGTTGCCATTCAAGTCTGTGGAACCAAGATGGAATCTCAGGGGAACGCATAGCTATGAAATTTGCTTGTGTTTTGAGTAAGCTGGTCTGTTTATGGAAGATATCCATTAGTGGAGGAGGTGAGAGTCAATTCTCAGCAATTCTCTTTTCCTCTGGATTCCTTAGATGAGAAATGGGTTTTTTTTGGTGTGTTTTTTTGGCAGGTGGGGGTTTGCTGGAAATTGTCTCTTTCCCATTTCCATTCCTCCCATCATCATAGGAGAGAGCTCTGAATACCACCCATTATCTTTTCCTCTCTGCTTCCATGACTCATCTGAGTTCAGCCACTAATTACCTAATCATCACAACACATGTGATTGCAACTGTCTTTAAACATATTGTTTTGGACAAGCAAAAAGAAAAGAAAAGAAAAGAAAAGAGAGTAACCACTGTACTAAATCAAGACTGCGCAACACAACACATGCACACAGCACTTACAGTGCAAATACATGCACTGTAAATGTTGGTTAGTGTTTGGAAGAGGCTAATGCAACATGTCAGTGTTCCTGGAAACAGCAGACAACAAGGCAGAGTACTTTCACACTTCCTTGATAGGATTTATGAAGGCCTTAACCAACATAACAGCAGTGATTCTGAATGCTGCTTGCTGACTTTCATCGTACACTGCACCCCATACAAATAAAGACAATGAACCTGGCTCTGGCTAACTGATCCTCTCTTCAAGTGAGCAAACACAGCGCTCAGCAAGGATTGTATCAGAAACAGTGTCTGTTCCGCAGCAGATTATAGAAGCAAAAAATAATTCTGCTCTCAGCATGAGGCAGCTGGAAAAGAAGTGGTGTTGGAAATGCTCAGGACAGGGGGAGGGAGGGAAGGGCACAAAATTCAGTCCGGAAAGTAGCTACTTCTCCAGATAATGTCTAACTGATTGATTGATTGATTGATTGGCTGCATTTATGTACCACCTTCCTGCCAAGACAACCAAGGCAGCTCGCAATTTTAACATCCTAAAGCAAACAGATTAATAAAGCAAATCTAGAGCAGTGGAGTCCTCTCAGGCCAACTATTGACACAAGTGCCGAGGTATGGGGTCTTTTTCTTCTGCCTCCCCTCAGGATGCACAGGTCTTAAGTAGTCCATGGGAAGGTGGGGTGGGCCTGGCCCTCCAGTTCCGTCAGGCCTTGGCACAGTGACAGGAAATAATTGAATAAATAGAATCATACCAGGAAATGGCAGGAGAGAGCTGAAGAATCCTTGTGACTCATGATGAGACCCTGAAGCCCGAAGAGGGCATCAGCATGGGCAGAAGAAGCCCTGAACAGACCTGAGGCACAGTGTGGCTTTCTTTAGGCTGCTCAGCCTCCCTGCCTAACAGCTGATGTGTGGGGTACTGCAGCAGCCACCACCACCACTTTCTTGCACATTCTCCCGCTTCCTGCTAGCCCCAGAAGTTGAATTCTAGTCGAAGAGCAGGTGTGCAGAGTGGGGCAGGGGGCAGGGGCTCTGCCCCCCTCCAATCAGTGAAGAGCCTGGGCACCCTCAAAATTCCTCAGCAGCCATTCGTACACACTGCAGGGCATGCTCGCATCATGCACGCCATCCACACACCCCAGAGGGTACACCTGTGACAGCAGCATGCCGTGGGACATATGTACACAGCGTGAGCACACCACAAGGCATGTTAATGTCATGCACACACCTTGTGGCCCTGGGTCCCCTCAATCCCAGGGGCAAAGCAGCACGCATGGAGAGAGAGCTGGAGAGCAGAAAAAAGGGTGTTTAGAGGTTTTTTAGAGGGGGCTCCCCATTTTACATGATTTCACTTATGTGCACCGGGGCTGCAATGTAACCCCCGTGCAAATGTGGAAACACCTGCACTTAACTCCCAGACCTTTTATCGCCTCTGCATATGTCATTCATCTAAAGATTTATGGGCAAGAGTCACAAACCTCATAAGTCCACCTTAATTTCCTCCCTGAATTTTCCCCACCAGCTCTATTCCCTTCTCAATTTTCTGCCATTCCTGATACAATTGTTATACAGTGTACTGTGATTCTGTGAATGGAACAGGCATATGGAACTGTGGAAGGCAGGAGTAAGTACTAAGGAGAGGGCATGGTGTATAGGAATAACAACAATATTACATAAACAATATTACATAACAATATTACATAAACAATGGTGTATAGGAATAACAACAATATTAATTTTGGCTGTGAGATCCTGCTTTAGGGTTTGTGGGCCCATGCCCCATTTTAAGCACGTTATCTGCTGGCACAGCAATTCTTAGGATGAAGCAGTAATTACTTAAATAAATCATAAGACAGAGAAAGAGAGAGAGAGAGAGAAAGAGTCTATAAGTAGCCAATGTGCCTTCTCCCAGAACCCACATTTGTGCAATGAAAACAAAAAGCAATACCAGAACGTTCCCATTAAGGTAGCATTTGTGCAACATGAGTCTTAATGAATGCTTTCAATAAAAGGTCTTATTTGCTCACTCTGTAAGTGAACAGTATTCCACTTTGCTAGGATTAGGAATAAAACCCAAATAAATACTCCTTTTCTCTCTTGCTCTATCCACATATATATATGCTACAAGACAGGCCATCTTGCCAAATGTCATCCTGCCAAAAAAACAAGTTAATGCTACAACATCAGAGTGATCAAGTTGTCAGTTTGTATGAAATGGAGCTTCGTGCAAAAGGCACTGTTTGGAAATAACTCTGTACCAATTAGAAAAGACTGAATCAGAGTGCTGTCGTTTCACATTTCTAAATGTTAATGATTTAACTCCAGGAATATGAGGAGGGGGGTTGTTTAATATAAGAAAAAGATTGAAATTCTTCATATCATTTATATAACTCATAATCAAAATGAGACCAAAATGGTTTCCTGTACCCCATTTCAGATGAACTGAAATGCAAAAGGTAATTGACAATGCTACCTCTGAAAAGATCAAAGGTACAGCGATCTGTGTGCAGCGATTCAATTTGATATAGCAAGATTGCTAGTCAGAAAAGATCATTAATTTTTTTTATTGGCAAACTTCTCTGTTGAAGGAAGGAAAAAAAAGCCTCCAGAACATACTTTGATAATTCTATGTTTCTCAGTCTCAAGAAGGTTGGAAATTATTATATTGATTTAATTTCCTTTGAATAATTTTGCTATTTGGTGGGTATTATTTGAAATTTGAGTTGTGGAGTAAAAACAGAAGCCTCAAACCATATAAAGTTTTAAGACCCCTTCATACATATATAAAAAAGAACATGTGAGGACTTCAACTGAGCAAGTGATGGGAGCAGATCCAACCCATCTTCCTTCACTGAGTGGAAGGGTTGGATAATGCAGCTTTCATGATTCTTGGGAGGTGTCCATGAACAGTCCGCTGAATACACTTAAAAGTACTTTACAGACTTTCCGTCTCAACATAGAAAATTTGGGAGAGAGCAGGTGCATGCAAATATATTGTGGGCAGGGGCAGTGCATTTGACCCCATCCTTGTCACAGTTTCAGTCCCCAATGCATTGCTTTAGAATCCAGTGTGGTGTAGTGGTTAAGAGTGGTAGTCTCGTAATCTGGTGAACTGGGTTCGCGTCTCTGCTCCTCCACATGCAGCTGCTAGGTGCCCTTGGGCGAGTCACACTTCTTTGAAGTCTCTCAGCCCCACTCACCTCACAGAGTGCTTGTTGTGGGGGAGGAAGGGAAAGGAGAATGTTAGCCGCTTTGAGACTCCTTGGGGTAGTGATAAAGCAGGATATCAAATCCAAACTCTTCTTTTTTAGAATCCCTGAGAAAGGATTTTGTCCTGACTAATTTAAGCCCTATTGCTTCAGAAGGGACTTTAAACTTACAGAATTTGGCTGTATAGAGCCCAAAATATTTTGTACGTTCAGAAAAAACACCTGTTATTATTCTTAATTTGATTTATTGCCTGCCCTTTGCCATAAGGGTATAGCCAG